TTCTTAAAAAGTACTTTAAACTGTATAAATACAATTGAAAGCGATTGACCAATCAGAAGAAAGTTATCCTATATCCCAACAACCATTTACCGACACCAATTTCACCGACGGCGACAACCTATTTACCCAACACCCATTTACCGACACCCATTTCACCGACGGCGACATCCTATTTACCCGACACCCATTTCGCCGACGGCGACATCCTATTTACCCGACACCCATATTCGTCGACGGCCGAAACCATTTCCCCGACAATTCATCTCGCCGCCCGATTTTTGGTTAATTCGGGGTAATTGGCTGTCGGGGGAATAGTTTCGGGGAAGTGGGCTGTCGGTAAAATGGACTGTCGGTAAAATGGCCGTCGGTAAAATGAACTGTCGGTAAAATGGCCGTCGGTGAAATGGTCGTCGGGTAAATGGAAATCTACAGTTACCGGACAGTAAAAAATATCCACTTTTTATATATATAATATTAAAATGCTTAGAGACTAATAACTTTAAAAAAAATCTGTCTTACAAATTTGTTGCCTTTCACACTAGCTACAATTTTGTTAGAATAGATTTTTATTTTTATTATAAAATTAAAAGTTATTAGAGTTTAAAGTTTATATGTAATCAAAAATTTGGCGTTTAATATATATTTATATAAAAAATTATCTATATATATTTTTAACCAAAAATTTGGCGTTTTAGAAAAAAAGTGGATATTTTTTACTGTCCGGTACTGTACCAAAACTCACATCGAATAGCTTATGTCCATTTATTTCATTTTATTCGTGTTTGATAAGTAGATGTTAAGAAAATTTAACAATAGAGCTAAAGATAAATTGTTGAAAAATCCTTGTCGCAAAGAATATTGTAAAATCAATAATAGCTTTAATAAATCGGCTTTAATAAATCGGTAAACATTAAATATAAGTCTCTGAAATATAAATCTCTAAGCAAAACACTTAACGTTTCTGAATACATCTTTTTTATATTCAAATTACGATTTATCTGATTTATCTTTAATAATGGATAAACCTTGAATACCAGAATCTGAAAATATTCCAGTACCCGAATCTGAAAATGCAAAAGAATGTATCGAAATTAGCATTATAGATGATTGAGCACTAAAAAAATTAAAATATATAAACTTACCGTTACTTTCATTATTTTCTGTTAATCTTATATCATCGTCGTCTTAAGATTTTAACAATTTAATAATATTAGCCGCAATAAAAGGAATCAAAACTAAATAAATCATAATTATTAATACCTTTAGGACAAATTTCAATAGAGCACTTCATTAATTTTTTTAATTCTTCATGAACAGTTTCAATACACGGACGTTCATCTGGCTTAGCATCCCAACATTTTATATAAAGATCACTATATTCTTTAGGAGTTTCAGGAATGGTTTCTTCTCTATGGCCTTGAATGATGTAACTAGATAAAATACTAAGTGAATATTTTTCAAATGGCCGACGACCACTAGTTAATTCCCAAAGTAACATGCCAAGACTATATATATCCGTTTTCTTAGAGTAGGGAATATTATCATAATTATTATCATAATTATTATCTGTGGGTCGGTTAAATAATTCAGGTGCTATAAATGCAACCATTCCAAAAAGGCCTTTATATATATCTGTTTGCGTATTAACACTTTTAGCATTTCCAAAATCGGTTATTTTTGCATTTCCATAATGAACAACAATGTTTTTATCATGCTAATCAGAATATTTAATATCATTAAGCATAAGAGCATATTTAACCATTAATAGATTGTAATGTTAAAAATATCTTACTAGGTCTCGGTGAATAATGTGTTCGCCGTGTAAATAACACAGCCCATTTGCGATTTGATAAGCTAGCTTAAATATTTGATCCCAGCCTAGATTACAATTTGTTCGAAGGAACTCTCGTAAATTACCTTCATTCGCATATTCCATTATAAGATAATATTGGTTTTTTAGGTTATCTATATTATATATAAACAAATTAACAATAATTTAAATATGTAATTAAATCAATTAACTAATTTGAAAATACCTTTACTAACTCCTAGAAATCGAACAATGTTTTCGCAAAGATTTCCTATCCTAATATGTATCGTTAATTCATGAATAAATGCAGTGATTGGATTACATTTTATATCCTTTATATTTATCAGTTCTTTACAAATAACATAAGTTTTCACTTTTGTCCAATGGGCTTTTCTTATTCTACCTAAGTGTTGAAAAATTATATGTAAATAAATTATATCACATATGTTTCAATTCAAGTTAGCATACCGAAATTCCCTTCATCGATTATTGAAACATTATTTAACTCATTCCATGGTATAAATCTAATTGAATTTTTTGAAATTTCGTACTCTAAAATATGAAAATTTATTTGTAAATATTCAACTAATTATTCTTTAAATCTGAATTAAATATTAATTACCCAAATCATCCTTCACATCATTTTTCCAGTTGGTAAAAATTTCGTAAATTTCTGAAGCTGACGGTCGTCCTTTCGGGTCAAAACTTAAACATTTTTTCATAAGGTCTAAGTAACACGCTATTTTGTCTTCATCAAATCTACGAGTATCTAGAATGGAAGTCAAAGGTTTTCCTGAAAAGATTTCCCACATAAGTTCACTAGTATTTGTCAAGTGTTTTCCTGAAAAGATTTTCCACATAAGCAATCCAAAGGAATAAATATCTGATGCTTTGATGAATGATCCCTTAGATTTCATTTCAGGTGCTACATATCGATAATTTCCAAAAAATAATGGTTTTGTAAGTGGTGCCTCATTAATCAATAATGATGATGAAAAACTGATTACGTATGCATTATTTTTGCTATTTTGTAATATATTATTACTACATAGATTACAATGAATAATGTCAGAAGAATGAATAAGTTGAAGGTCATAAGCTATATATGATAATAAATTTAATTTGTCTTTCCATTCCATTTGTGCAACTGAACTAAGATTTTGTTTTAAAGTTCCTGGCAGATATTGCATAACTAAAATATAACAACCATTATGATATGATACTCCATAACATTGAAGAAATGTAGGATCCTTGGATCCAATAAGGTAATATGCTTCTAGCTTTAAAATTTAAATCGTTAGCGATATTAATTAAGCATTATTTAAGAAATGTAGAATTTATAAACATTTACCTCTCTTAGAAGTATTTTGCAATCTCCATTAATAATACGAAAAATTTTTAAACTAACTATCTTTGTTCTTACTCCGTGATTGTGTGAATACGTCCACTCAGCGGAATAGACAGTTGAAAGACTACCATTTCCAACAACCTTTACTATTTTTAATTCATTATATGGAATCCATGAAAATGGATAATGGTTCTCATCCAACGTTTTCTTTAAAAATTTATTAATATCAGTGTTATTGCATTGGGGTTCTGTACGTTGGTATTTATTATTTCTCGCTTTCTGTAACCATTTAATTGCTTCTTTCCTATTATGAGATGTTCCTTTGCCATCTCTGTAGCATAAACCAAGATTATATTGCCCGCTGGAATTACCACATTCTGCTGATTTTAAATACCATTCAAATGCTTTTTTTTCATCTTTTTCGATACCTATTCCATTTTCATAACAACGACCAAGGTTATTTTGTCCACTAGAACAGCCACTTTCGGCTGATTTTAAATACCATTCAAATGCCTTGCTTTCGTTTTTATCGACACCTTGGCCTTTTTCAAAACACCACCCAAGATTATTGCATCCACTAAAACTACCTTTATCAGCTGCTTTCAAATACCATTTATATGCCTTTTTTATGTTTTTACTAATAAATTTATCGATTCCATATTGGTAACACCATCCAATGTTGGTTTGTACATCTGGATTTAAATCTTCCGGAATTTTTTTTAAATACAACATCAGTTCTTCTTTCGTTAAAAATTGACCTTCTCTATCTGATTCCATTTTTCAGCTGGGTACGTAATTACATACACACGCGCATAAACAGTTTAAATATT